CCGAGCGCAACCCCGACGTACCCCTTTCCCCGCCGGCTTCGAATTGCGGACGGATTAACTGGCTTGGGCCCCGCCAGCTGGAGCAACTCGTGTGGTTGTTCCGATGACCGGACCACCTGCGTCATGATTGCAAGCAGCGTGAGTAAAGTTTTTACAACCAATAAGTTGTGTCTGCCTCTCCATTCACCAGCCCGCCCTGACGTACGAGCGTAACTCGAGTCGGCCCTGGCCGTCCGAGACAGTTAGGTTAACTTATACACTGGATCTACGCAATTCCTAACTTTTTGGATCAGATATATGGGGTTGACTTATATGGGCCCCTGTGCACCCGCATTGTAGGCTGGGCACCTGGGGGTGGACATGTGCTACTATGAGCAGTGTTGCCTGGGCTGCACCAGCCAAGTGCCAAGCCTGGTCCCGTCCGCTGTGAGTGGTACCAGGTTCAGCACTCAGTTAACATGGCCCCATCCTCCAAGAGCACACTATGGAAACATTGCTTGGCTGGGTGCTGAGCCCAGCCCATCTCCTGCAAGTGGCACTGCCTCAGTCATGTCAGCTAAGCGCGGAGCCCAGAACTGCTCACAGGGGATGGAGCCGGGCTCAGCACTTGGCTGGTGAGGCTCAGGCAGTGCGGCTCACAGGAGATGGGGCCAGACTCAGCACCCAGCCCAACAGCATCCCTATAGTGATGGCAAGACCTGCAGGCCATGCTCAAGCTGGGCCTGAGCCCCGTGGCCTTCAGTGACAGGGACGTTGTTGGTAGGTAAAGAAAGTTGGGTCAGGGCCAGACTGGGCCCTGGAACCGGGGCGGGGCTGGGGCATCACTAGGTTTGGCGGGGGAGGCCAAAAGCATTGATAAAGTGTATAAGTTGAGATTGAATTTTAAGAGATAAAATTTGGGCTTCAAAACTCAATGTATACACTGTAAAATACGGTAGATATTTAATGTAATTTAAAACCTTTTTGTATCTATTCAATGAAGAAGTATTACCAGGGAAACAGTAATTTGAGTATACAGCGAAAATCATCACTGCCAACACAATTTTTGTTACAGCATCTATTTTTTTTAAGCTAAAAAGTACATATTTTAGCATTATTTTTCTGCTTCTGAAGATGGTCTGATATTAAATTCTGTACATTAAATTATCCTTAAGAAGTGGTGAGCCTGCTAAATCTGGGTGTCTGCTCAGTATTGACTGGTTTTGTGATGTTGGCAAGTATTTTCTTTGTATACAGTGAGTTAATCAAGGCACTAATTCAGGGAAGAATCCTTATGCAGGACAGTAAGTACATGCTTAAGCGCTATCTTGAATAGGAACAGATGAAGATAAAGGTTGAATTGCTTTCTTAACTCAGGGCTCAAATTTATAAACTAGATATTTGAAACTAGATTTCTGGAAGGTGATATGACAGTATATGAATCAGAAACTTACTCTTTGATATTAACTTGATTATTTGCACTTCTACAACATTCAGATAAATATACTCACCTGCAGAGTTGGTGAATTCTTTTCCATACTTCCCCAGCTGAGCACCCATACCTGATCATGTGATTTGTCATAGTGCAGCTTCACTGGTACTGGGTCTGTACTTACTGCCTACAGTGTACAAAAAAGTGAAACACTCAGTGTCTGGTTTTGAAAGAGAATAGTAATGTATAACATTGAATAAAAAATGATGACTGGATGAGGTCTTCCAGATACATTAAGAAAATTTAAAAATTAAGCTGTCAGTTGGTGAGGCAGCCCTTTGAGTAATTACTGTATTTCTACTTAAAGAATTATATCTGTGTTCATTATTTACACAATATGACACAGATATATGCTCATTCAACACTTAATTAAATTGTATGCCATTCTGAAGCTATTAAGAATCAGAAAACAAAAGTAGTAAATTAGCCAAACATTTACTTATCCTTCTTACCATATTTTACACACCTTAACATATACGGGTAAGAGTTTTACTGCTCATGAACTGAAGATGCAAAAGGAATTCTGATCAGCAGTTTCTATAAAAGTTTCCATTTCTTCTTGTCAACAAGCAAAGTGACCCCGCCAGATTATTGTATCGAAGTGTTAAGTGACACAACCATTGTAAATAGTGATGCGGTGGCGGAGTGTATCAGCAATTTGACCCAACATGCGAGCGATGCGTGATCAGAGCGTGATCACCTGTGGTCTAGCCAATCAAAGACCACCTAATGGGCATGGCTGGCTGGCCAGCATGTCCATGGGTTCCAGAATGTACCATCAGGGGAGCCTTCTGATTGGCCAGAAACTTTATATAGGGGACCGCACGCCTTAGTGCGGGGTCCCCAGGTTCTGACTCTCAGGACGGATTGATCACCCGTCTTGGGGCCTGGTCAGACCCCTAGGTCTTTAGCAGAAGCTGCTCTGGTCGCTCCGAGCATCATAAGCTTACTGCCTCGCATAGTACCTTGTCCTAACCAGACACTGTACTTGTATATTGTGGTCTCCACCCGTCGCCCATCGCTACCCATCGCTTGTATATATTCCCTCGCTGTTGTATATGGTTCATTATCACCAAGTTGTTTCGACCTACTGTTCGTCAGCCTTGTAAGTAAATATCAACTTTTATTTCAAACTCCATTGTCTGTGGTGCTTATCTCATCTCCCTCTCGCACTTGGCATCCCCGAGCGTGTCTGGGTTGGTGTCACCACCCGGTGCCCCACTTGACACGCAACTGCGGCCGTTTCCCAAGGACCATCCAGGAATCGAGGCCCACACTTCTCATCTGTAGGTAAGTGTGTTTGTGAAATTTATGTAAACATTTAAAAGCTTAAATGCGCAAAACATGTTTCATAGATTGGAAGGGGCTGGAAAGGACCTTGCAAGTTTATTGGGTCCAGCTCCCCTGCACTAGGCAGGAAAGACAACTGGGGTCAGGTGACCCCAGCGAGGTGACCGTTCAGTCTCCCCTTGAAGATTTCCAGGGTAGGTGATTGCATCACCGATAAACTGTTTGTTCCATCTCACTGTTTCCTAGGTTCAGTGTTTAAATGATTAAGTCATCAACTATAAGAAATTAAATGTATATAATACTGTGCCTATAGCAGGTATTTTATTAGATAACTAACATTTGTTAGTTAACATCTATTAATGTCTTTATGACTCGTATTTAATTTACAAAATCAAAAGAGGTTACCGCAGCAAAGATGTTACTTAATTTTCCCTAAATGTACACTTCTACCACAGATCAATACCACTTTTGTTTTTAAATTTATTGAAGTAATTTCTTCCTAACAAATTAAACCATTCACTACAACATCTCACTCAGCATTTATCAGCAGTTACAATAAAGGACAAAATAATTCCAAGGCAATAGTTTACATCGTTCTGCTGGAGTCGAGGTAAAAAGCTTCCTCCCTGTAAGCCTAAACCAAGGGTATGTAAAAGTAAGTCTGGTTTAGAATCTAGTTACACTATTGGCAGCACCAAGTTTTCCTTTGATAACTAGTATCATATGCCATATTGTTATGGAAGGTCAGAAGAGGTTTAGGACCAGATTCCAATTATCAAGCACTTAAATGACACTTAGGCCACCTACAGACATTACACTTTTACTGGTTTAAGTGATCGGAAACTGATCTATACCCATAACAGAAGTTCAATAAACAGGTTGATTTTAAAATGGCAGAATCTGGTCCAAAATGTGTACCCCCAGTTCCCCCCACCAAAGGGTGAACGTGTGTTCTGTTCACTACCAATCTAAATTACGCTGCTTACAGAAAACTGTATAACTTGGATCAATTTCTCCAGGGCTTTTTGAATGTCTGTACCTAGCCCTAGATGCCAAAGTGCTATTCTGTTCTACCATGCTGGAGACTCTGAAGAGATATTAACATAACTATGTTTGTAATATGCCTTCATTGTAAGTCCTGGAAAGCAATGAGGAGGAGAAGAACCCACACATTATTTGTATTCATGGTTTCTAAGAGAAATGAACAGGGTGGAACAGCATCTTCCTTAAGACTCAAGTAAGTGGAAAAGCAACTGGCATCTTACAGTCCATCTTCGAACAGGAATGACAAGCTAACTTCCAAAGGAAAGAGTTAGTTATAGCTGTATTTTACAATCTGAATTGTTTGTTTCAAAATAAACTTACAGACTATGCTGAGAAAACAATGTAGTGTCATTGGGCTCATGTATATTAGCATTCCGCAAATGTACCGTGATAAACAGATGTATTGGCAGATTCAGGATCAGCTTAGATTACATGACAACTAAATTAGAACTGTTCACATTCCATTAATAACATATCCAAATAATCGATTACTTAAATGTTTACAAGGCTAGAAAGAGAACTTGGGTGTAAAGCAAGAATAGCTCTTTCCCCCAACAGTTAATATGATTCTGATATATTAATGTGGAGTATATCTAAGAATTTGTGGTCAAAATTTCCTAATTTTGAAGGTTTGTGATCAAATTCTAATGTCACAGAGGTTAGCTCAGTATAACTCAAATGAATCCTGTGCCTCTTAGAACTAATATTTTTCAGGCATTTGAATACACTTCTTTAATACTTGGAAATTACTTGTTAACAGCACTGTATACCTATGAGCAGAGGTAGAAATCTTTGTGGTTGTGAAGTGGGGAGGAAAGCATGTTTGATTAGAATTGAAAGGACAATTTTATATTATGGGTGAGATAAAACAACAGTGGAATAAAAAACAACAACAGTGAGGATTACTTTTCTATTTTGGTCCTTAAAGTAGAAAAAAAATGTGTGGATCATTGTATCTTGATTTCACATTTCGGAATTGTAAAGCACAGCTTGTTTATCAGTTTGTCAAGGAGAGTACCAGCTGGCTAATTAAGTGAATCTAATTTAAACTAATGATGTAGACCCTCAAGATAACGTACTAATGGCTGGCTGAGACTGCCGATGATACTTAACTGTACTCCTGAGGTGTTACAACATGACACTGCTTCAGCTTAGTAGAACTTGCTTTTCTTTTTGAACATAGAATACGGGGCCAAGTTGTTTACTAGCTATATTTTTAAGCAGCAAGATAACCCTTGGAAAAGGTCACTCACACTTTATAAAAAAAATATTTCCATAAGTTAAGTGATTTCCCATCTAAAACAATATCTAGACTAGTGTGCTGTTCACTTCACTTCCCTGTATTAAATTTCCATGTAGCTGCTTCACCCAAAAAGTCTGAATAGCTAATACCTATGTTTACACAAGAATGCTTTCTATTTGGTGATTCCCCAAGTTTCCAGTCCTGCTTAGGAGCTCATTTAGCAGACCACAGGACAGAGACAGAACAGTCGCTGTCATAAAGAACTTTGAAGGCAAGGCCTATTATCCTGTACATATACATGCATGAGTATTGTCCCACTGAAGTCAAAGGACCTGCCCACACTTAAAATTACGTATACACAAGCTGCAGGATTGGGATCTCATTTATTTGTAACTCAGAATGTCCACTATAGGACCCTCTTAATCTGGTAAGAGCTATATCATCTTATTCTTACATATGTAAATCAACAGTTTTGTTGTCATTGCTTATTTTTATCAGACAAATAAATTGAGGTGTCCAGAAAATTTATTAAAAAAAAAATATTGCAAAATGTGGAAAATAAACACATGAAGCAAACTAATAATAGATTAATTATAGAGAAGGGGGGGGGAAGAGAAAAAAAACCCACAAATACTTCAGCATAAAAGTCTGCATGAAAGCTAAAAAAAAGGTTTTTAGATGGCTTATTAAAGTTTCCTTAATATAGAAACTTGATAGCTTTTCATTATGTAATCCATTACTCCCTCACAATTTCAAGCAAGATCTTTTCACGTTAGATCCTGACCAGAGCATTTCTCTCTGCCTAGCACTAATCTTAATTTTTGCCAAGTATAGATACAATTTTTCCTTGAAGAAAAGAGTTTAAATTATGTGAAATGTATGAATAATCATTTCAATATGGAACTAACACATTACCAGAAAAAAGGAGCATATTTTAGGAAGTACGGCCTTTAGAAAGTGCATCTCCAACAATGTTTGTATTTGGCTTTAATGACAGAGGAAACAATCAGTTAGGACTATGCTTTGGTTTACAAACAAATTACTATTTAGTTCTCACCAGCCTTTGATTTCTTGCACATGGCTAGGCTAGGAAATTGGACTAATATAACTAACAATTCAGTTCTAATTTTCGGGGGGAAGGGGGAGGGGAATCCTGATGTTGTGGGAGGAGGGGAAGAGGTAGGGAAGCTTTTAAAGATTACTGGCATTTTCTTCAATGGTTAGGAGACCAAACTGTTTATATGACTTTCTACGGTACACATCACAATTTGCATGCAATTCAAGTGTTAATCATGCCATAATTAGCAACATACCATGCATGCACTGTATTTATGGCAATAGAAAATGGAAAACCACATGATAATTGACAACAATATTTAACATTATAGCTAGATTGTATGAACCATAAACTGAACATCTAACATGCTCTATCATCCTAATGCCAACAATCAGATGACTGTCAGCACTGCGAACTGGGCAGCCCCTGGTTTGGAATCAGGATGGGTGATTCCCTGATCCCAGTGTTGACAATGGCTAATTTTTGGCATTGG